TTTTTTAGTATATGTTTTTATACAATATATTTTGCTTATTTTGTTAAAACATCTATATGAAAAATATAATATACTCATAAAAATATTATAATGGAACTTTATTTACAGTACACTCCCTTTGGATCATCTTTACAGCCCAAAGCAAGGGCGTTAAGGAAGCTAATGAAAAAAAAAAATAAAAAACATATGAATTTAATTGGTTTATATGAAAATAAGTACAATAAATTAAATGACAAACAATATAAAACTTCTAAATTATTATTATAAAAAAAAAATAAAATAAATACTATTTAAATTTTTTTAAATAATATAACATAATTAGTAGGCATTTCACTATATAAATTAACAAATAAATAAAAGAACAAATATATTATAATATTATTAAAAAAAAAGGAAAAATATATATTAATTCTTTTTACATTAAGTAATTAATATATAAATTTTGTTATAGTCCAATATAATTTATATATTTATTATTAAAAAGTGCAATCATTTTAAAATGAATAAATTTTCATTGATAACTAATAGTTCCATAACAACATATTTAAAAATATTTATAATTAAATTTAATGCATTAAATATTTACGAAATAATCATATTGACACACAGAATGTGTGTATTATAACTGATGAAAGAAATACTCTGAAATATTTATTCTACAAATAAATCAATTAAATAGCTTTAAACATTATATATAATATGAATCAATATGTAATACAAAAAAGATAAATAGGAATAAATCATTAATTTTAATGATTTTTTACAGAATTTTTTCTCTTACATATACATAACAGTAGAATGCTATGGAAAAAGGTCCTCATAATTAAGCTGTAATGCTATATAAATAAATTTATTTGAGTATTATAAATGTGTATAAATACAAAACATTAATATATAAATTTAAATATTTCCGGACATAATAAAACTAAAACATTATTATTATTCAATATAAATATTATACAAAATTCTATGAAAAAGACAATATAATAACAATTTATTTTTTACACGATAATTTTATTCACATTAAAGTGTTATAATTATATTATTATATTTCATTATATAAAATACATAATGTATATATTTCATAATTTTAGTAAAACATATTCATTACTATTAATTTAATACTTTCATAGCAAATAGAATTATCTAATGCTCTAATAAATATGCAGTAATATGTAGTGATTAATATTTTCTTATTTTCAGATTTAAGAGAACTTTGAAATATATTGCAATTATAAGAGTTATTTTGCTCAATATCAGTTGCATATACTGCCAAATCCATATTTTTGCTACATTTAAAATATATGAAAGTTTATCTTGCTTCCATTTTCATAAATTTTTTATTTAATTATAGGATATATTTTCATCAAAATATTTTCAGTAAATAAAAAAAATATATTTATGTATTTTATATATGGATATAACATACTTAAGTTATTTATCATGTGCTGTTATATCCAATTTACATCTAATTCAGTTTTTATAAAATGAAGAATATTTAAAATAAATCTCAAAAAATTCTTCCCTTCTATAAGCACCTCCAATAGATATAAGTGTGTAGTATAGATATATACCCCACATCTATATTCATATAACATTGTATAATTAATAACAAAATGAAATTAATGAAAAACATTAATAATTAAAAATAACGAAATAATATAATATATATACAAACATAAATTTATATGGTTTTAGCACATGTTATAATATGACAAATCGTAAAACAACTCATTTATATCACTTCATTCATAATGTATAAAACATATGTACATGAATAAATGTATATCATCTATTAATATTAAGACATTCATTTAGGTTATATATATAAGAAATTAAATATTTTTAAATAAAATATTTAATATATATATGCATTAATAGGCATACTGTAAAAAATATAGAGAATGCGGAAAAGTAAAAATATATAAAAGTATAAGCCAAGAGCAATGTTACATTGCACAAAGTTATAATGAAATACAAAAAGAAAATAAACAAAATTGAATGTTACAAAACAATTATTCATACTTTAATATGCAAATTATTTGGAACCTCTATAATTATTTTAATTAAATTAAAATTAACTTTTAAATTTAATATATTACATTATGTTTAAAATGAATAACTGTTTTACTAATGCCATTTTTTGTTAATAATATTATTACAAGTAAACATAACTCATATATATTGTATACTTTCTTGCTTATAATAAATGTTCATTAAACATTTTGAAAACAAAACAATGACTAATACATAAATAGTAAAAAGAAAGTATAAAAAATTGACAATAATTTATTATAATTTATAATCAGTATAAATAACGACCTATTCACCATTATATACAGAAAGAGTATAACAAAAACTTTAATTCAAATTATTACAATACTATTGTAGAATACAACAATATGCTGTAAATATGAATACAAAACATTATCTATTATCATATATATTCGTAAATTATTATCATAAAATATATTTTACTAGTGTTTATCGTTACCACAATATAGCATATGTAACAAAAAAACAAAAACGTGTTAAATGTGTGCCAAAAGAATAATATAAAAAAAAAATTAACTATAAATGATAAGACATTAATAAATCTATGTATTGTACCATAAATTTAATACTGAATCATTATGCGTTTTGGAATTCGTATATTTATAATTTTTTCTATATGTTTATGATAAAATAAAAATATTGTAATTTTAAAAAGAATACTTATTTTTATAATAAATATATAAATTTCAAAATTATTATTGTATTATTCAAAATAAAACAATTCCTTTCCATTTTCTAGATGAATAATTCTGTAAAATAATTTTTATAATGATAGCGACATACGTAATAAAAATATTC